ACGAATGTGAGATAGATGAGATTTTAAAAAGTTTAAGAAACATATATCCCTTAGAATGTCTCATTTATATTCACAACGTAATCATCAAAAACAAAAAATAACAATACAAAAAATAATACCATTCATTAAAATAGTTAGAATAGAGGTAATGAGAAATTGAATGTATCAATAAAATAGCGTACTACTTACAGCCTGACTCTACGATCACACCTAGAAGAACCATCTCTAGATTTTCTTCAGCTATCTGACAAATCACGCATTCATATGACTGATTTTTATGCTTGAGGGAAGATGAACGCTCGTGTTGACTACCAGATGAGTTTCCTAAAGGATAAAAAAGCCATTATTCCACAAGTGAGAAAAGAAGGAAAAATATACAAGATAATTGAAATACCAGCCGACTCCAAGTCCTTCAGATGTGCGTTGGCAAAGGCCTTTTGTTTTGAGGCCATTTGGTCCATAAGTCTACGTCTACGCTCCAGGGCTGCTCGCTTCTTTTCTTCCCGCAGTGCAGCGTTAGACTCAGCCAAAGTTATCGACCTAAATGTGAGTAAAAAGGGTAGAAGTAAATATGGCCGATAATAATGCTTTGAAGCATCGACTACTGTGGAAGCAATAGGATAGATTAAAATAAGAGGATAGGATGAGAATTTATGTATGCTTTGGTGTTCGATCATAATCAAATTTCAAGTTAGGTCAAAATGTCTAAACATAGTCATGTCTCGTATTTGCATCTTAGATGAGATTCCAGAGGCGCCGAAGAGCAGGCTTCCATAGTTATCATGACTTGATCCAACATCGAACTGTTGGCTAGGTATACCCCAAACGTAATCCATTTCTTGCTGCATTTTCTGATCAATGGTTGTGGTATCCCTTCTCTTATCCTAATGTATTTAATTATCCAGGAGCTCTGTATCCTCATCTCACACTCTATCCTCCAATATATCAAAATGTCCAGTTTGTCTATTCTGATCCCCTCCAGGTAGCTTGCTCTTTCGATAGGTTAGGTGAAACCCTATAACGTATAGTTGCGTTATTAATGGCCGTAGCTCCTTGATAGATTCTTTGTAGTATGTCTGATATCTCGACTAAGTAGAGAAAACGAGATCAGACCGATTTTGTAAAGTATAAGGGGACTGCAATTAACTACTAATGCAATTTAACATTCGTATGCCTCATTAAACCCACTCAAAAAGGGCGCACACCTGAAGTAGGTAACAAATAGATTGTGTTACAGTGATAAAGAAAAAGCTCGATGGCATATGCAAGTTTAATAGGGTAAGCGGAAAAGAGAAACCACAACAAATATGTTATTTCTTAAATGTGGAGGTAAGAATGGTAAGAATCGCTGACGGTGCCGACGAAACGTCTGGGAATGTACCATGTCCACGGTTCGAATTTGGAAATTATCATGCATAGAATGGACTCTGGACAAGGTGCGTTCAACTAAATCTTCCTACCAATATGACCAAGTTGCGAAACCAATGTTGAACTACTTCAATATAACGAAAGGAGAATGCGACTACACAAGAGGCCACACCATCTTGGTCTTCATAAATTCGATTAAAATATGGAAGTAATATTGCCAAACAATGCACTGATTACAGCCAGACAAATAAGACAATTGTAAGTCAATCCTGCAATTTGGTCTTTTTGAATTGTTGCAAACATTATGGTATCCCTCCCCGATTCTGGAATCTAATGTAGAAGTTTCGTTTGGACACAGTGAATGAAATTCTTTATCACGCCTCCATGCAGAAATTAGAGGAGAGTTACAAGACCGAGAGGCGTAAGCTATTCAGCTTCATAGATCTAAAGTAAGGATTTAGGTAGGGTTCTCGCTTTGGATGATTTTCAAAAACTCCAGAGCATGACCGACCAGAAGTAAGAGACAGTTCGGGATCTGATAAATAAGTGACATGAAAAAAAATTGCTTAGCTACGGGATAATAAGACAATACAAGTCCAAGCCAACCCGGGCAAATTGTGATGGCTCTCTAGTGATGACATCAACTGCTACAGTTAACAATAGGACAAAGGTAGTAAACCTATGTTCATTCACTCTGGATTCTGAAACTACGGATCTCTTAAAGAAGAGGTTATAATTTTCACCAGGTAATGAAGGAAATGTTATTAGCGATATCCTCTTGAAAGTTGTCAACATAACGGATAAATATCCGGAAGATACTAGGCGGGAGATCGAACTAGAAATAATCCCTTTGATCCTGCACATCAAGAACCGATAAAAATGAGCGTGGTATTCGGAAAAAATTACAAATGAATCATCAAATAGTTCTTCAGGCGAATAAGGGAGGAGCGACGGTTGTAACAGACAGGAAACAATAGACGGAGAAAATGGAAGGTATCCTTGCCGACCGGAACACTTATTAAATAGTAAGGAAGGATCCAACCACGAAGATCAACAAGACACTGAAGAATATGCTCAAGGAAATGCATACTAATGTAAAATTGACAGATTGATGATGAAATCTTTAATCAAAAATGACGCAAGACCACCGACAGCCCAAGGAATGCCGAAGATACACAAGGAAGGAAATCATCTAAGACCAATAATCAACAACAAGCATGGAGCAATGCATAAACTAGCAAAATTCGTTTACTTGAAGCTCAATAAAGTAAATGAAATATTTTTGAATACCACCAAGAATTCATATGAATTTTCTCAAGGGATCCAGAACATTGGGTTGGTGGGGTCGGAACTGTTGGTGAGTTTCGAAGTACAATCCATGTACACAAATATCTCAGGTGAGAGAGCGGTAGACGCCTTTCTGGAGATAATGGAGCGAGAAGAGGACATCCTGGAGGCAGAACGGATACGGAAAAAATCCTTAACACTACTGATCAACCTGACAGTAAGGACCACATATTTTACATTTAACGGCCGTATCTACTACCAAATATTTGGACTACCGATGGGATCTCCACTCTCACCTCTTTTGGCAAATGTATACATGGACAAGTTGGAAAGGGACTTTGAGAAGTTAGCACTGCAATCAAGAGTGCTCATGCGATACTTGGATAACTACTTTGCACTTTGGTCACTTGTTT